AAACTTATAAAACCATATAGAAAATACTGTAATAAATATTCAAAGTGCCATTGGAACAAAGAGAAGGGACAGATGAATTGCAGCAGGAATAGACATAAACTTGTAAGAGAGAAGGCAGTATTTAAATGATGTCACAAGCACTAAACAGTTCCTTACTTACAAAGCTATATTAAGCCATAGGCCAAGTATAAAAGCCTGGATGTACAGAAATGCCTGGTGTATTGGAGAATAAAAACATTTAGCTGTGACTGTAATATAGCTTGCGTGGTGGCTATGTAAGAATTGCAAAAGCTGAAAAAGATTAGGCTTAGCTATAAATGATCTCTTATGACAATTCCTGTCAATCCTTAGACTATGAGGACACGTTGAAAATTGTAAATAGGAAATATGCATTGCACAAAATGTGTTTTCAATAGATAAATCTGGTAGTAAACAATTTGAAGAGCAGAAGTGAATTCCAAGCATACTGTAATAGAGGTGAAAAATGGTAAGAGACTAGATGTTAAAATAGAAATAGTGATAGAAGAGAACATGTTTGAGATATAATTAAGATATAAAATTATTAGGATTTAGCAATTGATGGAAACTCAGCTATGTGGAATATATATATATCTATACACACACACACATACACACACATATACACCCATACACACTTAAGAATTGCTAAGAAAGTGGATTTTTTGTGTTTTCAATGCAGCAAGAAAGTACGTGAGTCAAAGATATATTAATTTTTAGTTTTAGTCATTCCACGGTGTATACATATTTTAAAACATCATATTCCATGACAAAGTATATACAATTTCTACCAATTAAAATAATATAATTAAAGCCATTGATGGAGGGAAATGGAGGGTTGGCCTGATAACTAAAGGTTTGGGAGTTTTAGCTGGAGTGTGAGTGTGGAGCCTGAGTGGATTTACTGAGTTGATACCATGGAACAACTAGGAAATTCTAGGTGGGGTTCATGGCTTTCACTTTGGATGTGAGGACTGTAAGGATTTCAGTAGGTAGATTGGAGCGTGCTGAGCTGTTGCCCTTTAGTAGGCAGTTCAGAGGAAAGATAAATATTTAGGATTCCTTAGATTAGCAGGAGTTGATAAAGGCTCAGGAGGATTGAAATCTGCCAAGAGAGCTTCCAGAAGGAGAAGAAAGAGCCAAGACAAAACACTGGAGAACCCAAAACCTAAGAGTATAATTCACTGCCTGGAGATGTCAAATTCAAGAGAAAAAGAGAAATGTATGCATTAGAATCACTGTCCCGTGATAGTAAATCAGTCAGAAAGGGAGAGAGAGGGGAAGAAAATGAGATGCAAAGTTTTCAGTTTGCCTACTAGTGGTGCTATGCTAAGGTTAGAAAAAAATTTAGATAAGACTATCGGTTCTTATTAACAGCAATATCATCAATTACATATGATTTGAATATTAATGCTATTGGCATTAACAACAGCATTATTCCTGTTGCTAATGATGTCCTTGTTATCAGTTAATTTTTCAGTGATTATGACAATGGTTAACAATGTATTAAGTGCTACTTATGTACCTTTCCATCCAATGTCAACTCAATCTACTTAAGCCTCTGCTGAGACTAAGCCTGGAGTCGCCAGGGAAAAGCTACTTCCACACCCCTCCTTGCCCTGTCTTGCTGCTTAGGGTTGCTTCTGAATCCTCTAGGCTTATTTAATCACAACTCTTCATTTAAATGTGTTCATTATCAAGTCCTGTCTTTGATGTTGTTTTGGTTTATGTTCTCACAGAAGCAAATACAAATGAGATTAGATATGTAGAAGACTTAAAACCAAGGTTGGCAGGTAAACCAGAGAACGCAGGGAGAGCTTTCAGACTGATAGAGGTCTGAGCTCAGTGCAAGAGAAGCGGAAGGAAGGAGGATTGGTGCGTAGTGCTCCGACTGCAGCACAGTTCCAAGGATGATTCAGTCAAGGTCACGGAGAATCTTCAAAACACAATCTCCAGTCACAGGCCCCATGTTTTAGAGGATAGATGTGCCTTGGTGCCAAGTGACACATAGGCATTGGCTAGGAAGAGTGGGCTCAGCACAGATACAGCAGTGGATCAGCAGCACTTGGGCATCAGTCCAAAGCCACCAGAGATGCCCTCGGTGACCTGTGAATAAAACAGCAGTAGAACAATTCTGAGCATGTGAGGACTTGCAACATTATTAATTATTTTGCTTTTGTTCACTAGATTGAACTATAAAGTTTTCCTTGAACATTAGTGGCCCTGTGTCCATCCTGCTCTCAGAAGGCATTTACTCGACTTATTTAGCATAATTAGAATTGCTTTATGTTATTGCTGAGAATTGTAAGCAACAGGAGTTTTCACACAGGAAATCTGGTGGGAGAAGTTAAGAGAGAATGTGGTTGGAGGAAGATTTCCATAGATGTCACAACAAATTCGAGAGGGTAAGAGAACTAGAGCATGAATTAGAAATAACCACTGGAAGAAAGCAGACGCTGGGGCCCAGGCATACACCTTTGGATGAGATGAAGTCCAAATAGACATATGGAAAACATCCAAAGAACACGGTGGATAGGGCTAGGGTAGGTGGAGAACTGGATGGAAGGTGTAGTAAATGAGTTACAGCACACCTCCTCTTTTTGAGAATCCCCTTCTGTACCTAGAGAGCTAGTTCTTCTATATCATGATGCATTTTCTTAATTTTGGTTAATTGGACCAAGACAGAGACCTCTCTGAAACTGAACTTCTGGGAAATTTGGCATTTTGAACTGTTTCCTTGATCTGAGACGATAAGTTCAAAATAAGGTTTGCAGAGACTGTGGGGGAAGAATGCATGCTAGAAAGCATGAAAACTAGCTTGCAGAAAGGTAAGAATAAATTGGGCATTCATGGAGGAGCTGAGATGGGAGACAGTGCGACCCCAGGGGAAGATAGAGGAGACTGAAGAACTCATGAGAACCTCTCATCCAAACCTTTCCCTTAGACTCTGTGATAACCCAACAGCCCTAGAATAAATTCTGTTTTGCTTAATAAGTTTGAGTGAAGTTCTAATAGTAGCCAAATGACATTGACTGAGACACTATTTTGGCAGATATGCTTAACACACAAACAGGACACTCAGGAACATGGCCTGTGCTGAGATGCAGGCAAACAAAGTGAGCTTCTGGAAAAATAATGGGAAGAGAACCCCAAGCAAAGTGGTCCAAGCAAGGCACTTCTCAGTCTGGAAGTGATTTCACAGTCTAGAAGGAATTTAGAAAGCAAGAGTTACCAAGCCAGGAGGTGTATACACCAGATCTACTTGTAAGAACTGGGGTATCAGGTGGAGCCTTTGTCACAGGAACAAAGAAGTTGGTTATTGGAAGGTCAATAGACTAGGATATTCTGATCCTTTGAAGATGTAAGCTCTATGAGGATGGGATCTGTTTACACATTCCATAAGAATTACTTATATTCTATTATTGTTTAAGGAGTTTAGAGTGTGGACTTCCTGAGTTGGGGTTCAGCTTGCTGTAAAGTGAGGTCAACCCGGGAGTGGAGATCCAGCAGTAACTTCTGTGAAGAACAGGAAGAAGGAGTCCTTGACTGGGTATCCGGTTAATCTTGAAGCAAAGTGGATGGCAGATTGTTGGAATTTCAAACATCCTACAGCAAAACAAACCTAGAAGTTGAAACTGAAAATTTAGAAAGCATCCTGGTGATAATATATTTTGATGTGCCAGCAAGAGGAGGCAGTACATGTAAGAGTTATTCAGAAAGGGAAAAAAGTGCCAAACCCAGATTATCTGTGTATTGGTTTTTCTAAGGCCCTAGTGACAGCTGATGTACCCGTGCAAAATAATTCTTGCAACCCATTTAGCTGGATAACTGTTTTGTAGCATGCTAATTAACCTTGGCAAGGCACTGTAAAATGTATACAGTCCTAAGGCCAAATCTAACCGTGAAACATTGGCAGATGTACTATTTCTTGACTCCAGTTTCTTTTTCTATTACTAGTCCCTTATCTGTTGTGTGTGTTATTAAAGCCACAAGCACAATCAATCAGAAATAGCTGCTTGGATCTGACTGGCCTAAAGGGGAACCAATATTTACCTTCCCTAAATTTTGATCTTCTCATCCATAAAATGAAATAATGATGTTCGCTCTAATAACTTGCTGGTGATTTTGAGAAACACGTGTGAAGATAACTGCAAATGGTAAAAACACAAGTAGAAGACAGGCAGGTCTTTCTAAGTCACAAGAAGAACATCTAATCTGTACCAGAACCTAGTTTTCCTTACTAGCTCTTGAGCAAGTCACTTGTGTTCCAAGTCTTTATTTCTTCATTTGCAAAAATGAGTATAATAATATTCCCTGATTAATATAGTCTCTATGTAGATGAATGTGGCACATATACACCAAGGTATAAAGAATATATTATAATTACAATTGAACTCTTCATAGTAACTCAGAATAAGATAATCTCAAGACCAAATATGTTTTTGCTGGCAGAATTAATAATATGATTTTAAATTACTAATTTAATGCCTATACTAGATTTTTTTCAAAAATATTTTCAGGGACTACTTCAAATTCTATAGAAGGTTCAAATTGAAGTCACCTAAATTTGAATAAGTCATAATCACTTAAAAGGTGAAACTCAATTGCATGTCAAAAATAACTAAGTACTTCCCTCAAGTTCCTTTGTGTATTCCATTTTTAATGTAGCCTTGTAGAACCCAACAGTATTACAGTTTATTTTTGTTCATAATTTATCATTTTAATACTTCCTTGGATTGAGAGAAATGTGATTTGTATTTTATCATTTTAATACTTCCTTGGATTGAGAGAAATGTGATTTATAAACATACGTGGCCGTGTATGACTAAGTATGAGAAGAGTGTCTACTTAGCCAGTGTGGCTCAGTTTTACATCAAGATTATTATTCAAAGGGTTTTAAAAAATATATATATATTTTTAAAAAATAAATAATGTATATTGATTATATCCTAATATTCTTTAATCTTTTTTTTCTTTGCAAGATAATAGTTGGAGAAACAGCTGTGTTTTGCCTACAACTTGCCACAAGAGATTTTGAAAATCAGGAAAAAACTATTTTAACTGGAGACTGTTGCTACATAAACCCACTGGTGCGCAGAACTGTCCGATTCCTTGGTATGTGTTCCTTGAGTTGTTTTTATTCATGCTGAAACAATATTATGACTCTGTGCAAACATTAGATATAATTTCTGTGAAATTTCAGTTTCATTTTACAAATAAACATCACATACCACTTTCTCACATTGCAGTAACCCACTTCAGGAGTCATTTCCATATTAAGGAAAAAATGACCAACCTGACCTCAAATACCTGAATATTTAATATTTTTAAGAAACTAAAAATTCCATAGTTAAAATAAATGATTTGTTGAGTTTATAAAATTTTAGAAACAATGCTTGAAGAGAAATGCTAACCTGGGTTATATGTTCACTCTCATAAAAACAAAAACAATGCTTGCAACATACTGTATTTGACAAGTAGTACTCGACCCACTAAGCTATTTTTATATAAACAAAAACATATTGGTGCTTTTATAAAAGTTAAATTCACCTATACTTTAATTTCCAGTTTCAGATATTACCACTAATAAACATGAACACTAACAAATTACTGAATATTATTTCAATTCAATACAAACTTGGTCAAAACAAGTTTTTTACTGTAGCAATAAATTTTATATAAGGTATTGTTTCCTAGATTCAGCAGGCAAAAGTGAGTATGTCTTTAAACAAAATATAAAAAAGGCTATGGGTGTGGCTCAGTGATAGAGCAGTCCCTGGGTTTGAATGCCAGTACTGTAAAATCAAGACACACACACACAAACACATATATATACACATATGTATTTAAGATATATTCTGATACATTAGAGATATTGTAATTATTCAGGATATTTCTCTTGTTGAGGGGATAAAGACAAAAATGTTGGAGATATTATGCTCAGATGACCTAATACATAGATAAACTCAATAAAGCTTAACCACATACATTCAGGCCTACATATCTCTCTGAAGACAAAAGGCCTTCTTATCCATTAAATGTTCTTTTTTATGGCCATCAAGTTATGTATCTTCAAAACTCTAATTTATCTTGTTGAAGGAATAACTTTTATATGAAACCTTATAAAGTTATTTTTAAATGCATCAGTATTTTTTCTTAATTCATTTTTCTTTGTATTATAGTCATTTAAAAATAGCAAAATAAGCAATAAGCAATAATGTATACAAAACTAAAAGCATCTAATGAATCGATGCTTTCCTAAATACTGTTAAGCACATTATTTTCTATCTATTTAAAAGTGAAATATTTTCCTGCATTTGTACACATATGTCTGAGTAATGTGTGGTACCAAGGTGTGTTTTTAAGTCTTTGCCTATTTATTACTTATACAATTTTAGAAAACATTTAGGAGAGCTTGGTTTGTTTCTTTTATCTCTTTCATGGTTTGGGTGTTTTAGTTTGTTCCATTATAATGGAAGCTTATAACTGAAACATTACTATGTAAGAAGGTATCACTCTGCATAGTGACTTCTTGAGATCAGCAGATCAGATACACTCATGGGATCCACTTTAATAATTATCTGTGTAGTCAACTACAGTACTGACCTTACGTCTGATACACTGACATTTTAGTTCTAAAACACATCTGGAAACTTTAGAAGTATCAAGAGACATTTCTATGTTTTTATCACCTACTTCTATTTTGCTAGATAAGAAAACGTTATGCCAGATAAGAATAGTTAAATAAAATAAGTACATCTTAGCCTAGATTTCAAAGAAGTACAGATCAAGAAAGCTCATAATTTAGATTCCTGTGCTTGGACCTGGGATTGTTAAAAGGAGAGATTGTATACATTAACATCGTATTGAGCTCAATTTTCTTTCATTTCCCTGCTTCTCCCAAACTTCTCTTTTCAGTAACCTTTATTTAGCATGACTCATGGAATGCTGGTGAGAGTAAAAAAAGGTATTATGGTTTCAGAGAATTTTGAAAAAAAAGAGCTAATGCCTTTGTTTCATTAACATTTGGATACTATATGCAAGTTTTTGTGCATAAAACTTTTTGCAAGAATCTTACATAATATTTGGAAATTTAAAGAACTACGCCTCTAATGTTGGAAAATTACTTGATCTTGTTCAACTTTTAAAGCAGTTTTCAATGTAATAGACAATAGTGATGAAAAGGTAGAAAATAATCGAGAAATATGTGACTAAGAAGAAAACGTCATTTTATGATACAGTTATGTGACTTTTAAATGAACCAATGAACCAAAAAATATTGTTCTGGTATAGTGTTAAAAGGTCCTGATGGATTTTATTTTCCCAAATTAAAAAGAATGGATTTCTTTATATCAGGATCTCCTCCTTGAAGATTGTAGTTGTAAGTTTATTGAACTTAATAGCAAAGAATTGATTTTTGCTGAAGTTTTGACAACAATGATCAATAATTCAGAATTTAGAAAATATTTTTGGTATTCAAGTAAATGTACAATATTCTTATGAAAGGAGAAAAAAATTATATGCTTATTTTATACCTTCAGGTAACTCAAGTAAATTAATTTTAATAGCATAAAGATAATTTAAATGATAATAGTAATTGTCTTATTATTTATTAAATTGCCCCCACATTTTAAGAAACAGCCAATCCATAAAAGAGAGGGAGGAACTAATTTACCAGCTGTCCTGTGCTTTTTGAAAATATTTCTGAAGGAAATGTAGAGATTAATCTGAAAGCATTCTGCTTTACTTAAGATTTTGCACTCTACTTAAATGAAAACTGATGACATTAGATTTTACTGCTAATTGGCACCTCCAGCAGAGATAATGCCAGTCTGAATGGGCTTAAGAGGCTTACTCAGAGAGACAACTGCTTTGCTTTATGTCAGTGAGACAAAAAATATTTTTAAAACTAGGGAAAAAAATCACAATTGCTGACATTAGCAAAACTTGATGGACAACACCCTCTCAAGAGATACTTGGCTCCATTTAAACAGCACATTAGCCAAACATAGCCCTAGAATCTATTTTCTTCTTGTATCTGATGTCTTATAAACTTGCCATGCATAAAAATGTAGCCAGTAGCCAGTTTAATGTGTTAAATAACTTAACACTCCTACTACTCAAGAAAGCTAAGGGAGAAACTGGAAAGGAGGGAAATAAAATGAACCAAGGGTATGTATGTATAGGATTTTTTATGGTGTCGAAATATTTTAATTTTGGCTTACTGTTAGCTGATACACACACACACACACACACACACACACACACACACACACACAAAGGCAGAACTAAATTTTTTTTTCTCCCCCTCAGGAATTTATACATTTGGACTGTTTGCTACAGATATCTTTGTAAATGCTGGACAAGTAGTTACAGGAAATCTGGCTCCACATTTTCTTGCTTTGTGTAAGCCCAATTACACAGCACTTGGATGTCAGCAGTACACACAGTTCATCAGCGGAGAAGAGGCTTGCACAGGGAATCCGGATCTCATCATGAGGGCAAGGAAGACATTCCCATCCAAAGAAGCAGCTCTCAGTGTCTATGCAGCCATGTACCTGACGGTAAGTACGGGCACACATTCATCAGAGCGTGTGTTTCTATTTATTCTTCTAAGCTGGAAATCCTTTTCCTTGCCATAACAAAAGTCAGTTGTTGGACACTATAGTAATAGCTTTCTACTGGCCATTTATTTCTAATAATTGCTGTTGGTACTGTGAATGAAATTAAATCATTTGATGTTCATGAGTTCATGTGTGGGTAGTTGGTTATATTAAAAATATAGCCATTTTATATTTCTACAGTGAATATGTTTGTCTTTGTGTTAAATAGGACTTAATGGAAGCACATTTGCTCTGTAGCCCTCCCCATGAACTGGTAATAGTGCAATTAAGAGAACTGTCTGGGCTCTTGGCTGCCTACTCAAGCTCCAATCTTCCCTTGTGGGGGTGAAGAGGGGATGCTCTGTTTATAGAACAGGATTTTATTATTGGTAATTGAATCATCATAGTATCTCAATCGGTGTTTTAATATTTTCTCTAACTGAAATATCATTAGAAACTGTTTTTTGCCTTTATTATTGAGCATTTGCTATCCCCTTAGTGGTAAGAGCCCGGCCCCAAGTGCAGATCTCTTAGGGCCTGTAAGTGAGAGTATGTTATCACAACTGAGTGCGTTATTGGTATAGGAAAGAATGGAAAGAAGAGCGCGCTTGGCGGGCACTGCTTGACCCTGGTGGGTACTCCCTCGCCTTTCCCTCCATGGCCAGCATGCGCTTTGCAGCTGTAGAGTTGGACTCCAAAGGTGTTTTCCATAGGCTTTCCTTTAAACTCCGATAAGAACTTCAGATGCATACTGAGGATATACTTTTAAGTGAAATAAATAAGTCACATGTGTAAATACCAAATAGTTTTTTCTGGTGTGAAAAACTATAATTGTACATAAGATCTAATGGTATAATTGACAATGTGAAATAGGAAGAAAAGGGCTAATCGTGTAGGGGAAGTGGGAAGGGTAGGAGAAAGGTAATAAGGGAAAAGAAAAAAATGGAAATAAAGTCTTTGTAAGTCGGGAAGGGAGGAGGGGGTGAAGGGAGGAGGGGGTGAAGGGAGGGCAGGGGTATGGGGAAAAATGAGAACCAAGATCTGTCATGTAAAGGTACAAGATCCCAGTGATGAATGTAACTGTACTGTATACCTAAAATGTACCAATAAACTCAATGAGAAAAAAAAGAAGAAGGAAAAAAGAACTTCAGAGAATTTAAATGTCTTTTAGGGTTCACTTTTCTAATGGAACCAATATCTGCTCCCTTCTTATTTCAGTTTACTAAGAAAAGATTTACAAATACTCAGGCAGAATTTGAAGCCCCATTTCATTATTTCTAATGACTTGGAAAATTTCAGTATTGTTTTTATCCTGAAAGAGCTACTTGGTGATGGAAAAGTTTCTAATGCGATGTGTCAGGCCCACAGAAAGCAGAGTCTATAGCGATGCCCTGTGACATTTCTTCTTGAAAATGGAAATAAAGGTTATCAAATGGAAGGACAGTTTAAACTGTTATAATGGTGAGATAATTTTAGAAGCCATAGGATGTGCATTTTAACATTTTTAAAAGTTTTAAGGCAAATTACTTTTATCTCTCACTGCCTGGAGGTAAAAAATATTCCATCAAGAAAATTTGCGTGGATGAAGTATTAATTTTATCCTACCCATTTGCACTTCCACTGCCTACTGACTTTTGAAAGAATTCATCCCGTGAAGCTCCCTTCTTACCCTTTTACTCCACTTGCCAACTCTGTTTCTCTCACTTCTGATTTCTTCAGCTCCTCGGCTTTGCTTTCTCCTACCCACTGTTAGGTGCCCTGGGCCTGACATGAACTTTGCCAACACATACACTCTTTCCTGGTCACTAAGTTGCTGGCTACATGTTCCACTTCTGCTGAATGTGAAGCATTCAGCCCTGAGAGGAAGATTTAAAATGAGTGAGAAGTCACAAATTACTTTGTATTCATTGCCATGACTTCAAAATCTGATGCGTACCTTTATATCTGCATATGAATTGCAAATATTTCTACATATGGCTATGTGTTGAAGCTCTTGATGGAAGACAAATATCAAGATTTTCCCTGCCCCCAGCTACTGTAGCATAAATGGTTTGTCACTGATAGATGTTGGGTTTTGCTGTGTAACCAGCATTGTCCAGTGATGGTAAATGTGTAACTGGAATGAAATATTCCACCAGAATAGTGGTTCTAAGCCATTGCTATAGGGGAAGGCATTATCTGCTCAGTTACTGGAAGAGTATTAATATTTTATCTTTCTCCAGTTCTACTGCCCACCTGCATGTATTTGTTTTAGCAATTTATGCATTATGAGATCTTGCTGCCTAGTCTGTAATGAAGACTTGAGGGTATTAACATTTAATCATAATTATTTTAGTGTATATTTATTGGGCATTTATTATGCATCAGGTACTAATTGCTTTTGTTTTACTAGCATGTTTACTGTCTTATAGATTTTTAATTTATTAATTGATTATTTGTGCTCTATTTTTAGACCTTGTAACATTTGTCTGACACATGTGCTCCTATTCCTCATTTTACAGAGAAATTTTATTACTCATTTTACTCAGAGAGTGAAATAATTTTATCAGATCTGTAACACCACACGATCCTTGCTACAGTGATTTTCAGTGTTCCGGGCTATGTAACACTAAGTCAGTCCTGCTAGCTCTAATACATGTGTGCTCAACTGAATTCTCACATCCGCCTGCACAGTCTCAGTATCCAGTAAAGTGTAAAAGCCAGGATGCAGATGGAAGATGAGTTTAAAGAACAGCCATTCAATAAACACACTGACACTGGGAAATCTTCGTCCTTAAAGGTGACTCAGAATAAAAGTCAGCATCCCTGCTTGTAATGACACTGACAGGTACTTCTGTCTTCTTAAACAATAGCTGGTGTGCTCTGCTTGCTGCCTTCCCCTTTCCCCCAGCACCCCTTTGTGTGTGTGTGTGTGTGTGTGTGTGTGTGTGTGTGAATGTGGGCGGCTACTATGGCAACTCTGAATATAACTCTTGATGCAAATGCAGGCTTTTCATCAGGTTTTGCCATTATATTTGAACTTAAATACAAATATACTTCTTCCCCATTTCACCAGAGGCGTCTTAGGAAGACATTATGGCAGGGAGGTTTGGTGTTTAAAAATAATGCATTCTCATGGAATGTCTGCCAGAAATTTGATAGGTAGGAAAACAGGAGAAAACAGTCATATAGTCAGTATTCTCTGTGGAAATAGTCTTATGACTAATTAAAAATTGTTTAATGTGTTATAAACATATGTAAATTTGTAAACAAAAACAAATAAGTCCCATTGTGAAGTATTTAAATAAAACTTGAAGAATATTTGATGCTTCCATATGTGGATTAGTAAATAAAAGTAAGGAATTTGAACTGTCCTTAAGCATGTGACTTCAGTTAAGATGTTGGTAATAATTTGATGACAGAGTTTTATTTTACTTTACTAAAAACTTCCAAGAAAATAAAAATCGCTGTGTCTATTTTTGAGAATGCTGTTAGTTGTTTTGTTTTGTTTTGTTTGGGGGGACTCTGAAGGTTATTTAACCTTCAGCTACCAAATGTATAATTCAGGGTTAAATCACAGTAGAATAACACTTAAAGTTAGCTTTTTGGTATTTCTTTCCCTGTGAAATTAGTAATGTTTTTTTTTTCAATTAAAAGCAATAAGCCTCCAAACTGAGAATGAAAATCATGTTTAGTAACTTTTCAGTTAAGCCCATAAACCATTGAAACACAAAGGCACAAAATCATCTCTTTGGGCCACTTCCAATTCTGACCTTATTTTCCTTCTTAAATTAAAAGAAAAGAAGAATGAGTCAACTATATTTGCTGGTCTCGGTTTACATTATATATTGCAAATCATCTCATGAAAACAGCAAACTTTAATCCTCTGGATTTAGGACATTGACTTGCAGTACCCCTGCTGGTCTGCAATCAGCTGCTCGGGCACCTGGGATCAATGCAGGTGAGGCAGCTCAAGTAGCTATGCCTGTCTTTCTGGGGAAGTCTTTCTTTCAGGTCATCTTCCCAAGGGTAGCTTAGTGCAGCCTCCCAAGAGCGTGTCTTGAGGGTTAGGTTCTTCGGCTTCCTGGACACTGCCATCACTATAGTCTCTCTTTCCAACAAACCCCAAGGTCTGCTCAGGCTGTTGGGAGTCAAGAAAAAGACTCCACCCCTGGAAGAGAGGTGCCATCAAGTCAGATTATAAAGAAGTGAATATATTGGAATACGGGGAATTTGTGGACAGTCAACAAGTTACCACAGTGTATTCCCAGAATATTAGTGGAAAGCTATTATGTCATTTCCCTGTGTTCTTCTCACTCGTTGGCAGTCCTCAGCATAATCCTACTCACATGGCCAAATTTTATTGCCAATAAAATGCAGCATATATTGCCACACTACCCATCAGCTCACAAGATTCTGTGTGCAGAAACTGCTGTTACAGGCAGGCAAGACAAAGGTAGAATAAACACAACTCACTAGTGTTAGTTTGCTCCTTCCCCTTTGGTGAATTTTTTTTTTACCTAATTCTGTAGAAGCATGAAAAGCCCTTATTCTGGGGTACAGGAAGGTGAGGAATGCAAGCCAGTTTACTGCTGGCAGTTGATATCCTGAGACCAGTTGGAAATTGCATTTGGAGGGCAAGGACTGTGGTAGGGGTAAAGACAAATTCTGGGCTACCGTCCTGTGTTTGTCTTTACTGGCTGATGAGATCTACCTACCACCAGACCACCATCTTTTAATGCTTCCCTGTTATAAATTTCAAATGAGAAATTTTGAATGAGCGTCTTGTCTGCTAGGTAATGCACCCAAAGTATTTACTGAGCTTGCATGCATAGCGTGACTGCTGTGCTATGACTATGACCACTGGTGCTTCAGCCACTATTTTTATTTGACTAATACTCATGTTGGTCTTCAACTAAGGTTCCACTGGAGTGAGAAGGTCCAAAGGATGTCTGTGAAGTACTGATTGGAATCTAGAATAT